ACACACACACACACACACACACACACACACACACACACACACACACATTTCTCACTTAACATACACTGCCACCAGGTGGTGCAGATAGACCAAATAGAGAGCTAGAACTAAACTGAATCGGATGCCTTTGTGCTCTCTCTTTATGACTGTGGTTGCAGAAGATGGAGTCAGCAGCACAACATATGTCAAACGTGCGCACTTGTCTTTGATTCATGAAATGTTGAATTTGAAGCATTAGGTTTTCAAAGCAGAGTGGGGCGCACTGATCTGTAACTGCATCTGTTGAAAGCTACAGGGCGCAGAGCACCCCATCATTTCTCTCCCAAGGAGGAAGAGGAAAGGAGAGAAGGTATGGTGATGGTCTTGTCATCTTAGTGACATCCTACAGTCTTGGAGGTACTAATAATGAGCAAATTCAGAATTCTTATGAGTTGATGTTCTCTCTGGAGAAATGAAGATCATGCAGTCAGTTCTCAGTAAGCACTGCAGAATGCCCAGTCTCCCTTTAAAAATGTGCTGCAGGGGAGTGAGTTCCCGCAGTATTAACAAGATATAAAATTGCCTGAGTAATGTCCCTGAACAGGTTACAATCGGGCAGGAAACTGTATTCAGTAGTCTAAACTCCTTTTGAAGTTATTGATTAGCTTCCTTTTTGGAGAATAATCTATTCAAGATTGGCCCAAGATGGAGTGGGGAATTTCACTCCTGTTCTTGCTACTACCCTGGCTTATGAGAACTGGTTCTCATTGAGCTGGCAGTTCTCTTGTCTCTAGCGTGGCTGCTCTGTGTCTTTTTGAGTTGCACACTGGTAGACATCATCTGCCCTTACTGTAACGCACAGCACAGAGAAGGGCAGGGTGCTCCGAAGACTCTCTATTCTTCACCATTTCCAGATAGAGACAGCTTCATCCTTAGATGAGCGTCTCTCCACCTTGTGTAACTTAAACCCATGAGGAAAAAGGTCTGCATCTATTCTTCAAACGTTGCCTTTGAATGGTGAACGTCAGCCTCAAACAGAAGCAGTCTCTCATACCTGTTTCTTGCGCTTTGGGAACAAAATAAGATATGTTGAAAAATACAAAAAACAGTCAATTGCTGTGTCAACCCCTGGACTCTTCCTATGCAGTCTTCATTCCATGGAAAGATCAATGATAGAAACTTTTGGCTTGTGGAATGTTATGTTTCGATTTCCAGCTTTTTCATGCTTATACACACAAGCTGTACACATATATACAGGCGTTCTTTACTCGATACCCTTCCCTTTTGCATACAAAGAAGTATTACCACACAAAATAAAAGCCTGTCGCTTTTATTTTCACTTGGTGAAGATACAAAATTTTTCATCTCAGAGTTTAGAGCACTCACTCACTTTCTACACTGGTTCCGAGTTCCATGGAATGAGTAGACCTCAGTGTACCTGACCACCTCTGTGAGCATTTAATCTTTACCCACACACTTCTCTGTAGAAATACTACAATGAATGCAGCTGCATCCAGTGTGTATAATAAATCTGCCATTATATGGCAGACAAATACAGCTGAGGGGTCATTTTCCAAAAGATGACTGGCTAGGCATCATTCCTCCGGTCCCAGGTAGGATAGGGACTCCTGAAGTTGGGACTAGGTTGATTTATGCTTACAAACGTGACTGCGGCTGTTGGGCCTCGTGGCTGACACTGTTCCAAACCAGCCCGGTCCACATTCCTACAGCCAGCTCCACACTAGATTTGTCCTCATCATTTCCTGTGTGGTTTCAGTATATAAATTCAGCCCTGACTCTGGATCACACTGTGCAACCAGCCTTACTTATCATCCTGATTCACCCGTTGAGCAAATATTTATGCAATAGCCATGTGCTGCCAGATTCTGGGTTAGCCCTTGCGAAGACACAATGGTGAGTATTTTGGAAGTGATCTCTCCCCTTCCAGAGCGTGCATTCCAGTGAGAGGACAGCATAAACAAGAGGATCTGGGGATGGTACGGGACAGGGAAGCCAAGATCTTACATTCCGAGAAGGGAAAGAAGGCTCGTGCTATAAGCAAAAGCCAAAGCAGAGAGAGAAGCATGAAGCTGGCAGACAGGGGCTTGGTATTAGGAACTGTCTATGCTGCCGAAGGAACCTGAGCTCACTTTAAAAAGAAGAGGACACAGGAAGGCAGACCTGTCTTTTCAAACATGATGGACCTTGTCAAAGACAGTGACTTAAACTCAAGAGGAAACCCATGATGGAGCAACCCCTGAGGTCCTTAATCCTATGAACAGCTTGCTGGCCTTTGGCATGAGGCCGTAACGCTTAAACACTGACTGCACCTAAGATGCAAAGTGGTCATATGGTCAGCATTGCGGTGTGCCTGTGACTCAACTTATGAATATCTCGGTTTACAAATGTCATTTGAGTCTTTGTATCCCTGCTTCTGTAACAAAATGGCTTTCTTTAATTTTGTATTTATAAAAACTCTCTGAAGCGCTAGTCTGAATTAAAAATTCCTCAAACTGTGTTATGAATTTATTGAATTGTGTGACATTAGTCCTAAAGCAAGACCTATTTGGAGCTGGTAGGCCATTGTTTGGCCGGTTGTAAATTTACATACAGTTAAGGCACATTGATGCCTTGTTCTTGATCACCTTGAGTCTTAAGTTACTTCTAAACTTGAGAAATGTCAGACTCTCCAGTGCTGCCTGGCTTTGACAGACAAGAATGCTAACAGAGAATTTTGCAATTGGGCTTATTACATTGTCTGTGCAAATTATCATTCTTAGGTCTCATGTTAATCAACTACATAGCAAGGCAACAAAATTGGGGTAAAGCTAATAAAAATATTTTTTACATCTTTTGTATATGTCAATGTGTCAGAAAAAAAAGAATTAATTTTTATTTCCTTAGTTTTAAAACTATGACTGGTCAGTACTAAGTGAACTCTTAAAAGTGACAGTTACTGGTAATTTCCAAAGGAACGCAGACAGAGTACTGTAAGGAAATTTGTCTTCAGGTGAGGCCCTCAGGAAATAAGACACCGCAGAATGCTGATCCCTTTGAAGAGAAGACATTGTTCAAAGAACCACAGACACTGGGACTTTTCCTGGAAAATTAATCCTTCAAAAGTCATGAATTCCCTCCAGAGAACTGTTACCAGTCAGAGAGGAGAGGCTGCCGCCACAGCCAGCACCTGTTCTGAGGAGGTTCACTTGCAGACAGAGTTTCCTTTCCTAAAGAGTTCTCAGTCTGCGAACAGGACAGCTGAGGCTTACCACACGCTTCCCCACCTCACTCCCCTAAGCCCTGGTGAAGCCCCAAGCCTCTACTCCTGTCTGCACTTCTGGATGCCACACAGGCCTCAGCTGTCTGAGTCTCCTTTGAGAATCATACGTGTGTGACTCCTGAGAGTATACATGTAGTTAAAATGTTTGGCTTCTTCTGTTGATCTTTCTTACACCAATATTGTTCATGCCTCAGCTAAGGAACCTGGAAGGATGGAAAGGAGCTAGTTTTGACTTCTCTGTGGTCAGCCACTGAAGGGAAGGTACCTGAAAAACAATGTATCAGTGTAAAACCACTTTCACAGTGTCTGATGGATAAGAGAAGGGCAATTTGTATTTACCCGTAAGCCTCTCTTTCAGCTGAATACTCATGTTATCTTTAAAGATTATTCAATGATTTTCCTCAGTAGCATTTAATTCAAATGTATTGAATTATTCTTGCTCCTCTAATTGATTCCAAAATTACTAATTCTTCCACTACAACTTCTTCCACGCCTGTTTTTTTTTTTTTTTTTCTTGTCAATTATTACTTTCATGTCCTAGGTGAATTCTCTGTTACTACTTATGTTAACAATTCAGGCTCCATCTTAGGGAATGGTGTTACCCACCATGTTTAGTATTCTCATCCAGGTAACCCATTCGAGATAGTTCCCCAGGCA